TCAATAGCAAAGGTCTGTTATTAGGCCCTTCTAGCAATTTTTTAAAAAAAATTTGCTTAACATGCCTTTCAACCCTAGAATTTATATTTTAATCTTATAATTCCCATTTTTTTAATATTCACTATTGGTAGACTGTCATCAAGTCTCTCATGAATTCTTTTAACATAATTACATTTTGTTCTTCTGATACATTATAGAAGCTGCTATTAAAACATTTTAATTATAAGTCCAACATTTAGATTCTTTTAAAGGTGCTTTCTATTATTTGTTTTTTTTTTCACTATTCATGCATTTATTTCTGTTTCTTTGTGTGTTGTGATTTTGTTGAAAACTAAAATCTTTAGAATGTTTATTGTCATGATGCAGATAAAACTCCTTGTGGATTTTTGTTGTTGTTGTTTGTTTGCAGTTTTGTTGTTATCATTGTTGTTGTTCATTTCTTATTTGGTGACTTGGTTTATCCAGTTCAATGGAGTCTGTTTCTTCTGGTTTTCCATGCCTGTGAATCCTCTGTGTTCCTTGAAAGGATCCATCTCTGGAAATGTGTCTTTAACCTATCCTCACTCTCAGAGGAGGAGGGTCATTTTAGTTGCACTTGCTTTGCTTTTTTCCACGGCCTCACTCTTAAGCCTAAGGTTGTTCTGTCTATACAGTATTTCACTCAGAATTTGGGCTCTTTAGTTGCGCTACTGTTTTCAACTGTGCTCCAAGATATGAATTACTCCAAAATGTACATGGTTCAATCAAATTTGGGGCTTGTGTTGGTTTGCTTGAACTGCAAGAAAATATCATAGGGTGGATAACTTAACCCAATAGAAATGTATCTTCTCACAGATCTGGAGTTTAGAACTTCACAGCCACTGTGCTAGTAAAATTCTGCATCAGAGACATTCTTACTGGATTACTGATGGCTTCCCTCTATATCTTCACATGACTTTTCCTCATTGTACGTACAGAGAAAACGAAAATGAATTCTCTGGCTTATCATACGTAACATTCATTCTTTTAACCACATTTAAACTTGGTTACATCCTTAGAAGCAATATTGTTCTTCAGAAGTTCACAGTGGGCCTTCAAGTGTCAACATGTGAGTTTGGGGAGTGGGAAACACAAATGTTCAACTAATCGCAAGCCTCTTTGAAGGATTACTTTTTGGTGCCCATCTGTGGTTAGCATCAACTCCAGATGGGAATTTTATATCTGACTTTTTTTTTAATCTCTTGCTATTGCTGCTAAACTTTTAGCTGCTCTTTCTTTTGCTGGTTTATTTCTATCAAGAAGCCTCAAGTCCACCCTTCATCTCTCAACAGAAAAACAAGAACTTTATTGTTTTCCTCAGTGTTCTTCTGCTTGGAAATACCCAGTCTCTCCCTTTTTACTGAGATGAGTGGGTTTTGAGAACATGTTGTCTTTCATTTTCTGCATGTACCCTTAGGACAAATCCAGAGAAAATAAAAACTATAAAACTTGCCAGTTCAGTGTTTGTTAAGAGCTGGGGAGATAGCTCAGTCAGTAAAGTTCATATCTGGTAAGCAGAAAGGCTTGAATTTAATTCTTGGAAACCATTTTTTTAAAGCCATGTATGTGACATGTACTTGTAATCCCAGCACCGGATAAGCAGAAATGAATGGCTCTCCAGGAATCACTGATCAGCCACCTTCACCTACCTAAAAAGTGCCAGACTAATGAAAATGGTGGGAAGCACCTGAGGAATGTCTTCCATGTGCACACACTTCAACAGACACACACACACACACACACACACACACACACACACACACACACACA